ATGTGGCTGCACGTGCGGGTGCTCTTCTGCCGGCAGCTCATCCAGACCCACCTGGCCTGGCTCAACCCCTACGTCCTGCTGTTCAGCGCCGGGGGCGTGGGGCGGACGGGGCCGGACTTCGAGACCCCGAACCCCGTCTACGCCGCGGATTTCCGCTTCCCCGTCCGCCACCCCCGCGAGGACTTCCTGCAGCTCCACGTCCTGGCGGAGACGCCCTACGGGGTGAAGCGGCTGGGCCACTGCGTGCTGTCCCTCTGCAATATCCAGCGCGGGCTCCCCCACACCCGGCGGGCCGCCCTCGCCGTCCACGCCAACACCCCCAACGCCTTCGAGCAGGGCAGTATTAGCGTGCGGTTGATGGCCGAGAACTTCGGGCTGGAGTATTTGCCCTCCGCCGACGCGGAGAATCGGCTGCGGGAGCAGATCCACGGCTACCTCACCCACCTCGCCCCCTCGCGCCTGCACTGGCTCGAGTGGTTTGTCGGGATGTACGCGGACCTCAGCAAGAGCGCCTTGGCGCGGCTGCTGGGAAAGCGACACTTCGCGAACACGGCGAAGCAGGCGGCGGGGGTGCAGGTGGGGGTCCTGGCGCTGTCCAAAATGTCCTTGAACGGCATCTACGCCAGCGGGAACTGCCGGGTGAAGGTGAAGGTGGGGTCGAAGACCTACGCCAAAACCCACGTCGCCGTCGGCGTGGACGGCTATTTCCAGGTCAACCAGACGTTGGAGATGCGGCTCGAGAACATCGAGGCGATCATCCTGCGCATTACGGTGATCATCAACGGGAAGTTCAAGGCCGGCGAGTGCTGGCTCAGCCTGGCGGATCTGCACCGCGGGGTGGTGCAGGAGCGGACGCATATCCTCGTGCAGAACGTGCGAACCCCCAATCCTTCCCCCTCTGGCCTTATCACCATCTCTTTGCTCAGCCATGACTTCGGCAGCTACTCGGAGCCCCCCTTAAAGCAAGAGGAGGAGGTCTACACTCGTCTACAGCGCTATTTATCCTATTACAAACGATCCGAGCTCATCAAGGCCGACGTCATCTTCTCCAGCGTCTTCAATTCCAATGCGTACATGCAAAAGCTCGTCGATACCCACGGGCCCGATCCTGGTGATTATATCCTTCGGGTCATGGTGAAGCGCTGTGTGAATTTATGTTTCCGCAATTTGGACAACACCCTCGGCAGCGATACAGCCCAGAGCCGATCTCGAAGTGCGATTAATCCCTTTTGTGTGCTGCGCTGCGGTCTTGATGAGTATCGAACTCAGATCTGCGAGGGCAAGGGGGAGTGGATTTTTAACGAAACCCTCACGGTCCACGTTGGCCTTCCCGAGCTGGAGGTGATTGAGCTGATTGTTTTCAATTTTTACGCCTCCAAGAACATCGAAATCGGCCGGACGCGTGTGCTGATCGACAAACTCAAGCGCGACGTCGTGAACGCGCGGAAGCTTTTGCTCGTCTCCAACGCCGGGACGAAATGTGCGGTGGTGCATGGGATCGTCGAGCTCGATTTGATTTCGAGCGACATCGGCGTCGCGGCGAGCGGGGCGACCGTCCCGACGACCCCGCGCTCGCGCCCTCTGGAGCCTTCGCCGGTGTCGCGCCGGCCGAGCGCCCAGGCCGAGCCGCTGGAGGCGTCGGACGAGGCGCATTTCAACAACACCCCCGAGTCCTTCACCCCGCACGGCGTCGGGCGGCTTAGCGGGTCCCCGAGCCTCGCGCTCTCCTCGCCGGGGAAGCCCCCGGGCGAATTGTGGGATGCGGAGCACGGCAGCATCAGCAGCCGC